GCCAATCACAACGCACTGGATAGCTGGCCAATCACAGCACACCTCGCTTTTCAGACCGATGAGCTTTGTAAAAATAGACGTTTTTCAGAAAGGCGGGGCATAGAGGAGAAACAATAATGTACAGTATGTGGAAAATAATGTGTTTTTTAGCAGCATCATATGACCCCTTTAACTATATGAAATGTTATAAATATATACATTTTCTGCCACAGCTGATTTTTACCCGCATTTGGCAGGTGTTAATTTCAAACCCTGGTGATGAGTTAACAATAAAAAAGCCTCCATCTGTCGAATTAACAAGAATAATATTAATAAACACTAAAACATTTAAGAGAGTCATGTGTGTCAGTGCTACTCTGAATTGAGTCCTCCGGTGAAATCTCTTAGCAGGTCTCCTGTCAGCCTGATTGTCGGGTGCAGCTGGGTTTGATCAGGACTGCTGCAGCATAGGCTTTCCTTTATTTTCAACATGGTGTTTGCTTGAAGTTAACACACTTTCAACAACTCTTCCTTTTCTGTGTTTTACGTGATGACTTCTGACACCGTTAGACAACAACTTAATTTTCAAATATCAAGGCATATTCAAATCTTTTATGAATTATAAGTAGGATGAAACTCAAGTGCTGTTCACACTACAGAGAATGAAGCCAAATGAAGGTCCCACTGAGAACACTGATGATGCTGAATTTCAGGCAGATTCTCAAAGTAACAGACTTTACTACATCAAATTCTTCATCATCAGCGCAGCGTGTGCTTTTAGTGCATAGCAGTACGGTAACGAGTACTGACTCAAAGCCCCTTTAAGACAAGTCATGTCACTCGGCGGCCATCTTTGAAACGCCTCTCGGGCATGCAAGTGCAGCTCCTATCTCTTTGAATGGGGAAACATCAAATTCTACAAAACTGTTCACCAAGATTACGAATAAATTTCATATTTGAAATCACCAAAGAAATCTGACAACAACAGTGTCATAAATGTTGCTTCTTTTGTTCAAATAGCGTTATAAAAAGCTTATTTTTCAGGCTAGACCAGCCAGTGCGCATGCGCAGTCCTGAGCTTTTCTATAGCAACCGGGACTTCTAACAAGCGGCAACCTCCCGCTCTCTCTCGTGAAACCAACACGGAAGTGACTTAAACTGTAATTCATCGACTGGCCGCTAGAGGCTGGCTGCAAAAGAGAGTCAGTCCCATAGACTCCCCCATGTTAAAATGCCCAACTTTACAGCAGAAAAAAACATGTTTACAGCCTGGTACAAAAAGTGGTTTTGGTCTATATAGCTAATTTTGCCCTTCATGACAACTGTGAGGGAGTGAATTTTTTTATAACTCATTTGTTTAAATTGTATTAAGCCTTAAAGTTCTGCATAATTAAGGGCGTGGCCACTTGAGTGACAGGTGGATTGCCGCTGCTGTCACCACCATAGAGCTAGGCGGGCGTGGTTTCAGCAACCAGCTCCCGCCTCTTTGCCCATTTTC